ATATTATCAAATAAAATTTTATTTAAATATTTTAAAATTTAAAAAATGTAGATCATAAGCATATTTTTAACAATTTTTCAGGCAAATTTGCCTGAAAAAGCTTACAGATTAAGGGATAGCATCTGTAATGATCTAAATTCTATATTTGCATTAATGAATTTTGTACTTCTTACACAAGATAATTCCATGCTTATTTTATATAAAGTTAAATTTTTTGGTTCTCATAACCTAGCCGGCTCAAATTTAAGAAACAATCGTTGAGTATGGTTACTATATGGATGATTTTTATAAAATTAAAACAAAAGTAATTTTTTGAAAAATAAAATTAAAAGTCAGGTACAGGGGTTTAACATATAAAACCTATCATTATATTTAATTTATTGCATATTGCATTAGTTATACTTCGTAGCGTTCCCACAAAAAGTTTTCCACCCCTATAATTTTAACCAATCAAAATTTAGGATCAAGTGTTATAGTCAATGTTTAGATTAGAAAAATATAGCACTTGTTAGTAAAATTTTACAAGTAACTTTTTATAGGTGGCCTTCTAAATAAATTTAGAGCTATTCTTGTTTTTTTGTAAAAAAATAGGATCGTTTCATTTTTACATTACACATGCCCCTAAAATTCGATTGGCCAAAATTAAGGATAAACGATTCTTGTAGAAGAGCTAGGGGCTGACAAATTTTTACTGCTTTCAGCGTAACCACAACGAAAAACATGAACAGCAACAATACCTTAAACTCGAAGACAGAGTTCAAGAAGCTTATAAAAATATGAATATAGAGCTGCGTAGACTAAGGTGAATTTTGAATCATTTGCCAAGTCGTTATGTATCCAAAGTTATGCTGCCACTAGGTATAAATCGTGGAAATAGCAAACGCATTGTGGCCATGGTATGTGTATCTTGAACATTCCTCCCACATTACCGAAAGTCGTTCGTCTATGGAGTTTCTCTAGATTGTGGTGAATAGGATATATGAATTAAGAATTGAAACTGTAACGTCCTTCATATTCTTTTTTCCTTTTTTTTTAATATTTAAACAATCCCGTGTGTCGATAGCGTAGTGGTTGCGCTCCCGGTCATCAATTGCAATGTCGCCGGTTCGAGTTATATTGGAGGACAAAAAACTGTGCCAGGGCCATGATCGAAGATCAGCTACAGACCGCCATAAGGATAAATGAGTGTCGCTAAAAGAAAACCAGCACACCTAAAAATAGAATTATTATACAAAATATAATAAATCTATTTTTAGGTGTGCTGGTTTTCTTTAGCGACACCCAAATATGAAATAAGGTCACCTCCGGTGAAACTTCGGTTGAAAAAAAAACTAGGAAAACTCCAGGAATTCCGGTAAAATCCGGTTGTAAACCTGGCAAAATTCCAGTTGTCAATATATGTATATAGTTAATTAACTCATGTAATTCTTAAATGCAGGGAATCTTACAAATTTAGAAGACCTCCGTTAATTAAAAATGAGTTAATGTAATAAAATGGTACGCCATATGGCGATCATGCCAGCAGGTTTAAGAAGGAAAAAAAAAACAGCCATGAACCAGGAGATGGAGAAATCGATTTTATCGGAGTGTAAGGTACAAGATTTAATTTAAAAATTTAATTTATATAGGATATGTGGTAAAGTGGCAAATTATATACTTTGTAAGAAAACTGAATTTTTGCTGCTTTTGCACACTAAGGTTGTTCGAAATATCATGTTTTAGTTATTGCTTATCGTTATATGCTTTGGCGCAGAAAATTTATTTGATGCTCCAAAGCAATGTTGGCACAATTTTTAAAGGAGGTTCAAATTTTCAAGTCGGACCCATCAGATTTATGCTGGCATTTCGCAATATAAATTAACCATTTTTGGGCCAAAATTATTAGCTAGGCAGTTTTACTTAACGAACGGGCTATGACTTCATTAGTAGAACTTTCAGTGATCTTTTGGGTTGTTTTTTTAACAAAAATTATATTTCTATGGCCAAAAATGACAAAAACAGTAATACAGCAGACCTTTTTAAGTGCATAATTTTGAGACCACACTTTAATAATGTGCATTTAGAGAATAATAAGGAAAAGTGCATTAATAGGAGTCAAGTATATATTTGGGCCAGAATTTGAGTGAGCATTTAGAGACAGTATGCACTTATAGAAGGTACGCTTAGAGAGTATGATTGTAATTAAATATTATCAGCATGTAAAATAATTCTGATCTGGACTTCTGACTAAAGATGCAGCCATTAGAAAGTCAAAGGTAGCCACCTTTTTACGTCACCTTTACGTCCTATAATATACGTCAATACGTCACAAACGTACTGCTATATGTTGCAGCTTACTTCTGACCTGTTCAGTCATTATGGCACCGACTTGGTAACTATTTTTAAGATTCTGTGGTGTTTTGTGATATAAATATTCGAAAATAGAGATTTTTCTTATGGAATTTAACTTCCGACAGCGCTATTTTTAGCAAGAATAGTAGTCATCGGAATTTGAATTCCTTATAATGAAAAGCTTACTGAGTGTATAGAATCGTAAATTTCAAGTGTCTTTCATGACCAACATAATTGTGTGAAAATAAGCCGCATTAAGGATAGATTGAAGATTAATAAATACACTCAAATTTACAAAATTAGCATTATTGAGATTATCGTTATTAACACGGTGATATACTGTTTACAAATTCATTAATTTCTTTATGTTTTGTATACCCGTAATAGGCATATTGTTTTATGTTACATAAAAATTTAATTCTTTGTACGTAATAAAAATGAATATATAATGTAATACTTTTGACCTTTATTTTTGATCTTGCATAAAAAAATTATACATTATTTGAATTACAAACGATTCTGAATTGGCATAATTATAATTCAAATGTATCAATACATTGATGAAGTTGAATACGATGAAAAAGACATCACTGTTGAAATTGATAATGTTGGAGTTTTAGTGAAATTAAATAAGAGTTTAAGTTTGAATTCAGTGCGACAAATACTTGAGTACTATGATGCGATAAAGATTACTGATTCCATTTACTTTACAAAAAATGGTGTATTGATTGATATTAAACATGAACAACAATATAAATTGAGAGATATTTTAGATAAAAATAAAAATAAAATCTTTCTCATGAAGGATCCTCGGCCAAATTGGTAAGAGTTGGTAAGAAAATTTAAACTAGAATATGGTCGTAATTACGATGAGAATAAAAACCAAGTGGCAGATAAAAAAGCTTTCGTTATTAAAGATTGTGAATTCAATGTGCTTGAACCTTATAAGGTTGAGTCTTATATCTTAAAAGCTTCATCCATCAGTGATCTGACTAGAAATAAGAACTTATTTTTAAAAGCTCAATTAGATATTCCACATATCACAAACTTAGGTTTTTCAATTGAACCAAAAAAACATTCAAAAACATAATTCTGAAGAAACATCATCCGAATTTAAACTCTTAAATATTGTCAAGGCAGAATTATTTATTAAAAAGGAGCGTGTTGTCCTCACTGACGAGTTTATTAATGAAATAAAAGACGTACTTACTTCATCAGAACCAAATCTAGCATTAAACAAAGTTATTAAAAAATTTGGACAATTTGTTCCCACAGTCATTTTATTTGGTGGAGGACACCATTACAAAGATACAGAATATACGATAAAAAATTCAAAAAGCAACAAAAAAACCTTTTTAGGAGGACTAGGTGTTTATGGGCAAAATTTAAAGGCTCAATATAAAACTGATATAACTAGTGGAAACGAAAATAACATACAACATCAAGACTCAATTATTTTTGGTGGTGATATAATAAAATTATTCCAGGGTAAAGAAGACGAGCGGATGTCTTCATTACAAGACTTTAAACAGTGGGGAATAATCGAATTTTGTAAACCCATGAGCATATTCGAATTTTTGGATGATGAATTGAAATATCGAATTAGACAATTAAATGGAAAAATGATTATTTAGCTTTAAAATGCATGATTATAGTGATAGAAATGATAGTGATAGAAATATTGTCAACTTGATGATGCCACAAAATATAGAATCTATCTTTTCTGATGAAAATATCAATAAAGCTGTTGATTCGCAAGTTTTTGCTACGATATCTAACGTGGAAGATGACAAAATTTTCACTTGCATGTTGTATATCCAACCAGCCCCACGTATTCCAAAAGTTATCATTAATCGCATTCAATATGATTACGAACAAAAAAAAGAATATCTTGTTAAAATTAGTTGGTTTGTTGTCGGATATGATATAAGTTTTTTTAATTCTATTTTAAATCCAGCACTTATTCGCTTTGAAAGCACTACAAATGATTATTATGATGAATATTATAACTCATGTCAAGTACCCTATACAAGCACAGAGCTCTCTAAGATACATATACACAAAAAGCACTCTATGATACTATATTGCATGCCTGTAGTCTCAGAGTGGGATCCTAGCTTCAAATATTTGATTATTGGTCATCACTTCGAAAGACATGATACCCATAGCATGACAATTATAAAGTACATTCACTGACTTATTTTTAATGATATTTCCATATTAAAATAAGAATCTAGTGGCTAGAAAACGTAAAATTTACATCCAATCAAATTACAAGATCAGGTGCTCATAACTTCCACGTATGCCTTAACAAAAAAAAAATTCATTGCAAATTTTGTGCCCATTTCAACTTTATGCATAATAAATTTTTACTACGTGCTTTAAACATTGTTTTTTTAATTGAACGTTAGCCACGTGTTATCAAAATTTTTTGACGATAACGCTAATCATAATCTACCAGAAAATTAGCTAAATAAATGATAATCATTGTAACACAATGATTAATCACCGTTAATTTCGTTACACCATGTTATAATTTTAGTTAAGTACCAAATAATAACGATAAGATATATATATATATTTATAATCGACATGTAGCGGTCATTATTAAAAAATGTCATCTGAGCAAACTTCAACCATCATTTCATCGATAGAACAATTATCCTTAAATGAGAACAACGCGAACAAACAAGAAAATATAAAACCTCGTTTACCTCGTATTTCAATAGAATTTTGTACTCAATGTCGTTGGTAAATTTTCATTCATCTTGAATGATTTAATAAGGTTTAATGAATTTTTTCAAATAAATTAATTTTTGTTTTAATAAAGGGTTCTTCGTGCTGGATGGACAGCTCAAGAGTTATTGGTAACATTTGGTACGATTATTGGTGAGGTTGCTTTAATACCTGGTGTCGATGCTGTCTTCATAGTTCAAGTTGATGGAGGTTGGTTATTAAATATTCACCTATAATTTGATTTTCTATTTGGGTAAATAAGATGGTTCATCTAATTATTACTTATGGTTTGGTTAGAAACTGTCTGGGATCGTAAGAAAGAAGGTCGATTTCCGGAATTAAAAGAATTGGTAAGTTAAATTCCTCAAAATCCTATTTTTGTTTTTATTAATTTTTCAATTAATTCTAAGTTTTATATTCTATTGTTAATAAGAAACAACTTATCAGGAATAGGATCGCACCGGATATGAATCTTGGTCATTCCGATAATAAGAAAAAAGCAACTACTGATACTAATACGTCAACTCAAGATGCTGATGCTTGTGGAAAAGATGGTTGCCCTTAATTATACTAGTAGTCGATTAGTTCATATTTCTTTATGCTACTTATGTTTAATAACTCTTCAAAAATGCTGTTTACAATGTTTATAATGTAAAATGAAACCTACGCGTTGATACATTAAAGTTTGACTTAATACATCATTATTAAATACTGTATAGACATAATATATTGTATTTTTTTTCTTACAATATAATGTATTTGCATATTGATATATTCTCATATTTAATCAAGGTCATTATTCCCAAGCAATATTTACTCAAATATTATTTTCAATACGATGACATATATATAGTCTCGTTATCTAAAAGTTATAATTTGACATTTACTACATTATTATACTGTAAAACCTATTAGACTTAATCGAAAAAAATGCATTATTACAATCAGAGAAAAATTATCTAAATTAAGATACCCATTTAACTTTGCCCTCCCCCCCAAAGGGGATTGAACTAACAGTCGAATAATAACGAGAACCATTAGCGAACGAGCACTGCGAGTAGAGATGATGGTGAAATTAATTGCATTAAATTTAAACTTCGTCAATTTCATCACTTAGTTTAAATTTCATCAACTTCTTTAATTGCAAAGATAGACAATATTACGTGTCTCAGCCTATTTTGTGACTATTCCAAGAATGGAAGAACGCTCTGAAGGATTGGCTGATTTTCGTACATCTCCCCATGACATTTCAAAAATATTATTAATTAATTGATACTATATCGATACGTATATAAAAATTAATTAGTAATGCTTATTTATGCAATGAGTTTCTGTTCGATTACGTTAATCGTGGCTGATACTGTGAACATATTCAAGAAGTGCAATTTTGATAACTATTGTTATATAGGTGGTGAATTTTATTCACTTCCATTTGTACCGACATTCATTCTTCCTGTTTTATTAATTTTAATTACTCTACTTCATCACTAACTGAGCAATTTTTTGTTTAAAGCAATAAGATCACGAGAATTAGGTAAATTAAAGCGATGCTTCATTTCGAACAAGGCATACTTAGTATATGAAGTGAATTTCAAACATAAAATAGAAATTATTGGCTTGCAACTGGTCTTATTATGATTAAGTATAAGAACCTGTCATGCCAGCTACGACTCCATCATGTATGAACGTAAATCATGAAGGGTTCAATTTTTGACACTGAACGTTAACTTCTTATAATGAAAAAAAAACAAAACAGCAAATAAATAGCAATTTTAAATATTTTTATGCAATACATAGCAGTAAATTTATTATTCTACTATTAGAAACTAATGCTATTATCCTAGTTATTGGGGGTAGTGTTGCTCTCTTCGACCACATGAATCACCATCACTTCGCATTTTTTTACCACAATTAGGACCATAAATATTCGAATATCAAATTGAAAAATTTGGATAACAATAACAATAAAATTTGGATTATATATATATATTCTATACAGTATTTGCAAAATACATCAATCATTTACACATTATATTCAAAATTTTAAGCAACCGAATTTTCAACACTTAATTACTTTACTAATATTGAAAAAAAATTTTGGTGTTAAAAAATTTAAAATTTGAAAGTTTCAGATTGGTAATTTTTGCCGTTTCCTATATCACTATTACCACTATGTAAAAAATCCAATGAAATTAGAGTGGTGAAATAATTTCATTAATATTAGTGAAATGGGCGTCAAAATGGGTGTTAAAATGATGAAATGAATGTCCCTAACGCTTTTGGTTCTGATCAATCTAGATTCGCAAAACCTAATTAGAATATTTGGAAAATTTTAAATTCATTTTGTTTCAAATTTTTGCTATCTTGGTTAAGTTGCTACCAAAAAAAAGTTCATATTACCTCTAAGTAAAAATTTCGTACTCTTAGGTTTGGATTTTGCGATTCGAAAGTATACTGTTAAACTCAAACTACCTCTTCTATGAGTTTGGTATAATTAGAGGCAATAATGAGTAACTGTCTTTTATCGTCCTCTATAGACTAAATAATGCAGTGATTTGCTAAATGCATATTAAGACACAAATAGTCTGTAATAAATATATAGTTTATTTAAGAAATTCGTGTATGAAGATACAATTACTTTTTAAAGTGTATGGAATGGAGAAAACTAGGCTTTGGGCTTTAAACCTTATAAAATCAGGTCAGCAAATCCAACGTCACCACTAATCAAAGGAGCAGTCACATAAACCAACAACCTGATTTTATTTTGATGCGCATTCTTGCAACAAACCTTTTTATGATAAACGTACTCTATGCTTTATAACAGTATAATGAACTTTTTTTTTAAGAATATTTATTAGAGTTCGGTATCAGGCAAAGGCATAAGCATAGGCATAAAATTTTGGCACAGGCACAGGTACAGGCATAATAATTTGGCATAGGCATGAAGGATCTTCTATAGTATAAGTGAGCATTTAAATTTTGCTACCAGTTACTTTAAAATATAATATAGGTAGGCAATTTTAAAAATAATTATATTAAAACAAATAATTGTAAAATATAATTAATTAATATATATTTATATTTATATATAAATTAGACTTTGTAATTAAAAATTAATTATAATATAAAAGTTATAATTATTTATATAATAATTATAAAGTTGTTTACTTATAAAAGATTCTAGTTGAAATTAGGGTTAGCCATCTATACTATAGTTCAACTGGCATAGGTATAGGTAAAAAAATTAAGTATGAGTACAAGTATAAGTATAAATAATTTGACATAAGCATGAACATAAGTGTAAAATTAGGTAATAAATATAAACATAGATATGGGCATAAATATGAATATAAACATAAGTATTAAAATAAATATAAAAATATAATAAGTATATTATTATAATAATAAAACTAAAACTTTTAGTTCAATTTGAATTAGTCTGGTTTAGAATCAATTCTAAACTTAAACTCTAAATTTTACTGGTTTTAAACTTCAAATTAGACTCAAATTCAATTAAAAGCTTGGTTCAGATTTTGCAAACTAATTGGAGTTTAAATATATATATATATTTTTGGTACTAAACAAGAATGAAGTTAAAATTAATTAGTAAACTTTTAAGAATCATAAGATTTTATAAAATTTTATTAATAAAGTTTTATAAAATCTTATTATCCTCAACATTTTATTAATTAATACACTAAGTAACTTGTTCAACACAAAAAAATACATATGTATATTTAGGCTTAAACTGGTTTGCAAACTTTGAACCAAACCTAGACCAGACTTAAACCAAACTAAGAGTTAGAAAATAAAAGTTTGAGTTTAGTTTGAAAATTAAACCAAACTCAAACTTGACTAAAGCTAGTTCAAGTCCAATTTGTAGAAGCACTAGCTCCCAGCATTTAGTAGCTACTCCATTAACAACCTATCCGTACCAAAAATATCATAAAAAAATTCACATTATCATATAAAAAGTCGGATAATACGTATGGTATTGAATAAAGTGCAATATTTAAAGTATTAAAACCTCATTGTTAGGGTTATATTAGGGTTAGAGAAGGACTTAGCATATACTAAAATTTCGCAAGGAATTTTTTTATTAAAGCATTGAATTTCACGTTACACGTGATCTTGTGATCTGAGTAGTCAAAACCACGTGCGGGGAAATTTTTGTATAACTTTTTTTTTTTTTTTTTCGTTACTCAATCAATTATTAACTAATATGAGGTCTGCACAAACTAACATTTGTAACTAGACTGCAATGTCAGAAAATTCACATGTTCAAAATGCAATAAATGCACGAGAAGCCTCCAATAAACTTCAATATCTAAATGCAACAGATAGGAGTTTAGCTCTTAATAAAATCAAAGTCGCTCTCGAGAACAACAAACATGA